CTCCTCCTCCTCCTCCTCCTGCTCCTCCTCCTTTGATCGTGAGAGAAACCCCATACCCAGCCCCTGGGGGTATTCCGCAACACCCCAAGCCCCCTATAGCCGCCCTCCTGCTGGCGACCGCGTATCTCTGGAGGAGCGGGATGATAGGAGGCAGAAGTAGGGGGCGGGGGGGGGGGGCGTGAGAGCAGGTGCACAACAGCCACATGTTGATGCAGCGTCCGCCACCCTCGCAAGCCACGCTGTACAAGGAACGAGAGGAGGCTCTGGCGGACACGAATGACTCCAGCACTGCAGACTATCACGCTTGATAAGCATCACGGCGTCAGACGCGGCGAGAAGAGAACTTGCTTGTGTGACGCCGCCTCCGAAGGGGTATTCCGTGACATACGAACGCCGCCTCCAAAAGGGCCGCCTCCGAGGGGTACTCCGTGACATACGAGCTCTGGCTGCGCAGAGCCATGGTCGTAAGCAGTGGCGACAAGCCGCCTGCCCAGGCAATTATTGTCACAGCTGGCCCCCCTGCGGCTGTTGGAGGTGAAAGCTATGCGGTGTTAGCCATGTGGTGCAATCGGTAGTGAGCGAAACACCTACACGGCCCCCTGGGGGTCTTCCGTGACCCTTCAAGCCTCTATGTCCGCCCTCCCCAGATGCCCGCTGCAGCCTCCCAGCGACCGCGTCTCTGTCTCTCTCTCTCTCTCTCGGGAAGCGGGAGGAGAGGACGTTGGAGGAGGGGGCTATGGACACGGCCGGCGCTGGATGGGGGTCACGGCAACTTGCGTGGAGTCGAAATTGTGTATGATTTTAGGGGCGGATGGGGGTTCCCACAGCTTGCGGGGAGTCGGAATTGTGTACGACTATGTTTTTGTGTTTCTTGGCAAACACGCGCTAGTCTTCTGGGCGAGCAGTCGGAGGCCTGCAAGTACCTAACAGTGCTGCGCTTTCCGAAGGCCTCCTGAGGCCGTCGCAGAAAATAACGTATTCTCCGTTCGCAAGCCTCGGCTATCCGACATGACGGGATTGCACAGTTTGTACTGAGCTGTGGCGAGGAGCAAACCTACTCAACCTTCGGCAGCTGCTATCCCACTTGGTGGAATCTCCCACGTCTATGCGAGCAGATCCCCCTTGTCACCCCTAGGGTCAACAGTGGCCGTGGCAAGCTAAACGGTCGCTGTCCAATCTGCTTCACCCTTAACCTCCTGAGGGGTGATAAGTGAGGGATGCGTTCACGTACGGCCATGGGCGTTTTCCAAGTGAGTACTTTTCGCACCGCACACATAATGCTCAGGCAAGGGGGAACCCCCGATTCTGCGACACCCCCCTCGCAGCATGCCGCAGCATTTTGGGCCCAAAAAGGCTGGCAGAAAAGAGTAGCATGGGAAACCTTGAGCCCCCATGGGCGCACCCGAACAGCCCAACCAGCTGTCCTCTCGAAGTATGGCCGAAACCAAATCAGGGTGCACTGGTTTCTGCCATACTCGCGAGTTTAAGGATGTGACCCCTAAGAGTCCTTGTAAACAGATCCCTCCTGCAGGGGCAACCTGCTTTACGCAATGGGTTGCGCGACACTGCACTTCTGAAGGTCGCATCATCCTTAAAGATGGGTTCAGGTACCCTGCTCCTACTCCTCTCCCCTGCGTACTCGGCAGTCCTCCTACTCCTCCTCCTCCTTCTCCTACTCCTCTCCCCTCCTCCGCCTCCTCCTCCTCTGGACATCTTTCAGGAGAGGCGAGGGAACACAAGCGGAAGAGCGAGGGGGAGTTCCTCTTGCCGCTCCCCCGCGGCAACTCAGGCAAGCTCCAATGGCGTTGCTACGCCCAGTCTCTAGCATGCTACTCGCGGCGCCTGCTGGCATTCGGGGTGCCCGAGTTCCACGGCGGTTATATCATGGTTGCCAAATGTGTGTGTGTGTGTGTGTCTGTGTGTGTTGTGTGTATGCGTGTATGCGTGTATGCGTGTAGGTGTGCATGCGTGTATGCGTGTATGCGTGTATGTGTGTGTATGTGTGTATGTGTGTATGTGTGTATGTGTGTATGTGTGTATGTGTATGTGTGTATGTGTGTATGTGTGTATGTGTATGTGTGCCTGTGTGTCTGTGTGTCTGTGTGTCTGTGTGTATGTGTGTCTGTGTGTATGTGTGTATGTGTGTATGTGTGTATGTGTGTATGTGTATGTGTGTATGTGTGTATGTGTGTATGTGTGTATGTGTATGTGTGTATTTGTGTATGTGTGTATGTCTGTGTCTGTGTCTGTGTGTATGTGTCTGTGTGTATGTGTCTGTGTATGTGTGTGTGTGCGTGTGTGTGTGTGTGTGTGTGTGTCTGTGTGTGCGTGCGCGTGCGTGCGCGTGCGTGCGTGCGTGTGTGTGCGTGTGCGTGTGTGTGTGTGTGTGCGTGCGTGTGCGTGTGCGTGTGCGTGTGCGCGTGCGCGTGCGCGTGCGCGTGCGCGTGCGCGTGCGCGTGCGCGTGCGCGTGCGCGTGCGCGTGCGCGTGCGCGTGCGCGTGCGCGTGCGCGTGCGCGTGCGCGTGCGCGTGCGTGC